AAAAATATTAGAAGGCCAGGGAAATATTGGTTATTATGCCAGAATCTTGGACAGCCGTACATAATTTGGTTTGTCCCTTCACTCAAATTCATCATCAATTCTACTCACTCGAAAAAGATTACTGCCCGCTTACACCCAGTAAGAAACGTTCGCTGTTTCAGTTGTTGTAAAATGAACTCAGCAGAGGAGTGGATTTTTTTTTTGTATAATAAAGCATTGTTTTACAGTAAATGGTTTGAACCCGGGGGTAACATGTAATAGTGTAGCCACTACTATCAGGACTCTTACCCGAAGAGCGCAATTAGTATGTAATACGACGGACAGCTTATCCGACGAGAACAAGTACCTTAACCGTGTTTTTTCAAAGAACAACTACAACGAAGACTTTATCCAATGTAACACTCACAGACCTACTACTACTACCGAAGCTAACGACAACGCAACTCATACGACCACAGCCACTATACCATACATAAAGGGGATATCTGAGAACATCTCACGTATCCTACAACCATTCAATATCCTCGTCGCTCACAAACCTATTACCACACTAAGTCAGTTATTGACTAACATCAAAGACAGAGACGAACCGAGCACAGACGAGGAGCAGTATATAAGATCAGTTGCTCCGACTGCCACGCCTCCTACATGAGACTGGCAGAAACCTCGCAACTAGACTGACTGAACACAAACGAGCGACGAGGAAAGGCGATGTCAACAATCACATTGCTGAACATCACCGACTTACGAACCACACTATTGACTGGGACTCTGCGCAATGCCTAACCTACAGCACCAACTACTTTCAACGAGTGACCCTTGAAAGCTGGTTTACTAACTTGGAACAGACTCCCCTCAACAGGTGTCAACCACTACCGGCACCGTACAAACGACTCATCCACGACATTAACATTACAAACGAACCGAACAGAACGACCTAACTTCACTAACGGATCCAGACCGTCCAATCACGACTGACCTACGCCACTTGAGTCTTACAGCCAATAATATCACGGCAAAACTGACCAATCAGTGTACACAAACCGGACTAAGTACATTCGACTGACAACAACCTTTCACTTGACTCTGATGATGACTTCCGCCCAGGTTGTCGAAACGTCAGTCACCACTACCGACAAAAGTCCTTCTCAGGACTACACTCACCCGGACGATCAAACTACACTATTACAAAGCATAGTTTGATTGCGGCTAAATTAAATTTAAGATTTCTTCGGATCAAAAGTAAAAAAATTGTTTCAAAACACATCAAAATTGTGTTTTGAAACTAAGAATTTTGAATCAAGAGCGAAAATTAGTTTTAACACGCCTCTGATCACCTTAGGTGCTCCGCTGGCGATTAAAATTCAAACTTAATTGAGATTAAGTTTTTTAATCTTTGAACTCTAAAAACCTTTCAATTTAAAAAGTAGTCACCACTTCTTGAAAGCTTTGTAATCTCAAGAGCGATATATCGCGTTGCATCCATCATTCAACATAAGAAAGCTCCGATATCTGGTCGATTAATTGTCCTAATGTTTCCATAAAATGCGCGATTCATCGTCGATACATCGGAAAAATAAGGCGCGTCATTGGCCAATGAAAGTTCACATTACTTTTGAACAACACTGTATAACCCCAACATGTTAAAGACTACGTCAAACTTATCTATACGAAGATAAATCAAATCATAGAGATGTCAGGTTTTTCCAAGATAATTGATCACTGCTATTTCATAGAAAAATCTTCGCTGTTTCCAAGCATAACTTGTGTTTTTGCTCCCGCCAAATAAGTCATACAGCAACTAATGTCATAAACTGAGCCTCGCCGGGGACCACACCGTAACTTGTTACCCGTGGTGCTAAGACAATTTCTTCATGCCAAGATCAGGCAGGCAGGATTACCAAACTGATTTTTAACGGTCGTGTGTCAAGGTTGATGTGTACGCAGGCTGTTAGAATCCTATAAATTGGAAATTTTTGAAGCAAACTGCGGCTTAGCGTCGGATGCAAGGGTTAGATTCAGTTTGTATTGAATTGAAATAAAACTACAGTATATGTACTTGGATTCTGCGTCGGATTTGTGGCCGCCCGGTCATTTTGCGCTGGGATTTTTCGCTTCTCGGATCGGGCGTTCGGAAATGAAATCTTCAGCCTTGGGCTTTTCTTATGAATGTTGAAAACCTCGAAATGGACAACTCGCTAAAATGGGTTCTTTTCACCAAAGAAAGCGGTCAGATAACAAGTGATACGCTGTGGAAGTACGGTGAGGTATTTTTATTGAGAATTTGACGTATTGTTTTATTCCTCAGAGCGGTCGTAAATATTCTCATACAAACTCTTATAATTCCGCCATGACTGTTATTGTGCAAGATGATCATATCACAGCTGGAACTTGGGCCGCCTGTGGTTACATTAATGCCTCTAAATTTGAAATTTTCTCGATATCAAAGAAGCACACCATACACTGTAGTAAATATTCTTAAGGTAAATTCAATTAAATATTTGCATTTATAACAAATGTTAAGCTAGTGGTTATTCGTTTCTATGATCGCTTTTCTGTCGGTTGAACGACGAAAGTAAGTTTACACCATAATTTGTCTTCTGCGAACTCGAAAAGTGCGATTAAATGCTTCATAGAATCTGCTGTTTCGCAAACAATAAACCCATGGGTCGATTGCCGCCGAAGTAAAGGCTACTGCCTCAACAGTCGTCCAAACCTTATGATACATGGTGGAGTAAACCACATTTTTGCTCAGATATTGAGTGAAAGAAGTCACTAGACTCGGCAGCCAGCAAACAACGAATAGTCCCACCACAATACTAACTGTTTTAGCAGCTTTTAAGTTCTGTTTTGGTCTGTTCACGGATTCTTGATTCTGTAAAGTAACAACGTTTATTCTCCTGGACTGCGTCGCAGAGGCTTTCAATATTCGTATGGAGCAGAACACAATGACGATCATAGGAATTAACACTGTTATGATTGTAAAAGACAACCACAACTCAATAGAATCATCTCTCACAAAAAACCTTGAACAGGGGAGAAGAAACGACAAGACCCATACAGAAGCTATGATGAGATAACTTCTCGTGTTAGTAAGAAGCTCTTGATAGCGGAGCGGATGAATGATGGCAATGTACCTGTCCAGACTAATGCAGCATAGGTTGAACGTTGTAGCTACAGTGGTGTGTATCCACAGATAATCAATAGCTTTACCGTAAGTTTTCAGATAACTGTCTTCGTCATAATTGATGCACCTGGCCGTTGCCCATACAGGGTTTATAACAAGTCCTACCGACAAGTCCGCCACAGCCAATGAAGCAATGAAAAAATTCGAAATTATTCTGAGGGAATGATTTCTGGCGATCAACCATAAGACAACAGTGTTGCCAATTACGGCCACCAGACCTGTGACACTGAACCAGGCTGCTAAAATGATCCTTTCTTCTTGGTTAAACTCTTCACTGGTGCTGTTCATGTTGCAAAGGCGTCTTTTCCATTCCGCTGACTTGGCGTGAGTTCTTCTCTGATATTAGATGACGAACAATTTATGGATTTAAAACACTTTTAATATATTTCGCATATTGTTTGGCCCAATAGGAAAGATCAACTCCGAAGAACTTAATAAATTATTAAAGAAACACTGGTGGCCGGTTTTCAAGCCAATATCTGGGTGGTGAATCACCTTCAACCTCTAGTTGCTATGCTTTTGTCCATGTAAGCTGTCAACGCGTCGATTTTCTTATTAACTAACTCAGTGAGTCGAATGCTTTTGTTTTCGCCCGTCAAAACGTCGAGCATTAAATAATAGTCAATTGTAGCACAAAAGAAGTAAAGTCATGCCAAGTGAAAAATCCATCCCCTCTCGAGTGAAAAGGTGAATTCCCAGTCGAGAAGAAATATTTCATTTTGAAGTTTTTGCTACAGTTCGTACAAGTAATGAAAAATTATGTGATAGTCTAAAGACTACATGAGTGAATTATCATGAGACACCAATCGTAAAAGTACCAAGATCGCTACGACAATTAAAATATATTGGAACGCCGTTTTATTTACTTTGAGCTCTTTATTTCTTCTTTGGAAGTGTACTGTTAGACATCTAAGGTTTTCAAGGTTTTTCCATATCTTCCCTTCCTTTCTTGCAATTTCTTTGGTAATGCTGGTGCCATATGAATGGCGTTTTTTAGATCAACATGATATCTGATGATCAATTGATAAAAGCACATATCATTAGTGGGAATCTAAAATTCACCTGCTATAAGTCATGTTTTAATGAGGATCCTTTTATCTTTCTCATTTATTTAAATCATTCTCACTGATCATGTACGAGCGCAGATAAACACCTCCGTTCACAAAACAGATATTTGCTGACTTCATTAACTACCCCTTTTGTGAATTAAGTTGAGTGAAGTATCGCCGGAAAAATCTAAATCGTTAACAAGTGTAGATCCCAAAAAACGCTCTAAATTCTGGCTAAAACTCTGACGAATCCTACAAACTATCGAAAGGAAAGAGGAGCGACCGCCCACGGCTTGTGCTTGTCAATATCACTCTGAGGTAAATTTGAATGATTAAAACTCAGCAAACGTTCTTCGCATGATTTTGACTCGTTGTTTACTCGACTCCCCTTTATTTATTTTATACCTGAATAATTATCTGTTTGTGACGAAAGCGTCTTGTTGTCGAGCAAATTAAAAGGTAATAAATGCTTCCCGTGTATTTCTTGCACATGGTATTTCACAAGTAGCAGTTTTTCTAGATAACTGATTGAAATAACAAAGATAGGTTTCGTAGTGATACATCTAATGCTTCAGCACCCAGACGAATTATAGACATTATCGTAAGTCCTCAAAAACTACCCTATACAAGATAAAATCGCCGGAAACTTTTCTGAAACGGCAAGTTAATTCTACCCAAATATAAAGTTAGCTGTTAGAATTAAGACTTTACTTAGAATAATTGACTAGGAAATTATTATTTGTAGGCTTAATGGTTTACGGAAATTTCTTCAATTGACAAGTGACAAGCACTTCGAGTTTTGACAACAAACTTAATTTAGAGCCAACAGCTGTTTTGCCAACCATGAAAACAACCAATATTCATGGTTGGAAAAACAGCTTACCACTTTACCAAGCTACTTTTACTTTTTTGAACAAAAAAGTTATTGCATTGTGTGATATGACTTCATAGGGTCAGTCTACCGTCTTTTAAGAAATCGAATTTTGCGTGATAATGCTTCATAGAACTCGTCGTTATGCAAACAATAAAGCCATGAGTTGGTTGCAGATCAATTAAACGCCATTATTTCAAGAAATGTCCACACGTTTGTGCAGTCTCTGAGTTGTACATGAAACATTTTTCCAAATTATCGTCTTTTAAGAAATCGAAATGTGCGTGATAATGCTTCATAGAACTCGTCGTTTCGCAAACAATACACCCATGGGTTGATTGCCGATGAAGTAAATGCCACTGTTTCAACATATGTCCACACAGTGTAGTAAACTGAGTCGTAAGACACTAGGTTGCTGAAATAGTGCGCCAAACCAGTGATGAGACTCGGCAACCAGGAAACCACAAATAGCCCCACTATGATACTAACTGTTTTAGCAGCTTTGTAGTTATTTTTACTTCTTCTAATAACGTCTTGATTCTGCGCACAGCTGCTCGTCGGTTTTATGCTATTGTAATGTACTGAAGCAGCTTTTAAAATTCGAAGAGAACAGAACACGATTATAGACATAGGAAATAATATTGTCATAACTGTAAAAGATAGATACAATGTCGATAAAGCTTTTTTATCCTGAACCATGAACCTTGAGCAGGGTAGAACGAGGGACATAAACCATACATCAGCTATCAGTAAATAACATCTTCTGTTGGTGAGAAAATCGTGGTAGCGCAGAGGATGAATGATGGCTACGTACCTGTCCAGGCTAACACAGCATAAGTTAAATGTTGTTGCCACAGTAGTGTGGATCCATAGATAATCTATACTCCTACCGAAGGTTTCGAAGTAGGTTTTAGGATTATAACCCAAACATCTTACCACTAACCACACTGGGTCTATAACAAGTCCCACTAAGAAGTCCGCGGCGGCCAACGAGGTTAGGAACAGGTTAGACATTGTTCTTAGAGATCTTTTTCTGAAAATCAACCACAGGACAATTCCATTTCCAGCTATTGTCACTAACCCTGCGACACCCAACCACGTCGCTAAAGCGATCTTTGCCTCCAAAGGTAGCGGTTTACCTTGGTTTCCCAAAGTGTGGGTGTCGTTCATTTTTACTGTGTCGATTTCTTAGGCGTCGATTTCAAACTTCTGTTTCTCTTCTGATCAAGTACGTTTTCTGATTAAAAATCATATCTTACTTAGAGGTTCATTTTGTCAATTTGTCAAGATATTGTTGGCTTTGACGTTGGTTTTTTTGAAGTCAGTTCTCCGCAGCTAATTTTAACATCCTTAGAAATGGTTTTAACGTTTTGTTATTATCATATTTATGCAAAGTGAACTTTGTTAGTAATTGCCACATTCACACTTGCTCAAATTTAAATTTATGTCAATGACACTGTAATTCGAAGGAGAAAACAGAGTGAATGGGTTCTTAAGAAGACACTAAAGATTTCTAATGGCAGTGCATGGATTCAAATTTTTATGTACGAGTTTGGATAAATTGTACCCACGATCGAACATGTAATATTTGGTTTATCGTATAAATATGTATTTGGTTTATCGTATAAATATTAATGAAATACATAAATTCAAAACGAGTATAAAAATATAATGCTCGAAAAAAAGAAATACAAAGAATCGATCTCCTTCGCGTAGCTGAAATGCTACTTCAACCTCCGCAATAAAAAATAACGCAAAAAATATTTGGTCTCAAAAAGGTTGAATTCGAACTTGTAAACTAATTTTGGTAAAGTAACGGATGCCCTTTCGTGAGAATTCAATCAGCCGATGTAAGAAGATATTTAATTTATGGCATATGTATTCAGTGCGCGTCGTTAACTTGTTATGTATTTAAAGGATTAAGGTTTGGAGGGGTGAAAATTAATTTTCCGTTTGCTGACACTTTAAAATCCCAAAAATTTGGGATTCGATTTCTTCTTAAGCGTTTTGTTGTCGTTGTTATTGTTGTCCCCTACTGGTGAAAAACGTATTCAAACTTTCGTTAATGATCGTTTCGCTAGCGATGTGTGTTTATTTCAATGCTGCATATACATGTAAACATGCATTGTTAAAAGGTGCCCGGCAGCTTAATACAATGCATGAATTGATAAATGAGAGTATTGCAGTGAAAACTAAGTGATAAGGGAGTTCCTCTCAGCTTGAAATGTTAGTTATAATCTCTAGTACTTAATTAGCGATGTTTCAGACAGACCTCTCGTTTGACCCTTTCACTCAAGAATTTTGAACTGTTGCTAAACAGCAGAATTGACCCTATTTTATGCTGGCAACGAAACCTTTAAACACAATTTTAATTAAGACCTGTATGAGAGGTATCTTGAAAGCTATGTTAAACTTAAGTAGCTTAATCTCTAGGTCTAATTTGTTTTATAATCGACATTGGATTGGAGAAGATTACCTCACTCAGTTAACAAATTCCACGCGCCGTCTTACATGTTCCTTTATCCTTAATAGTATTTCGTTGTACAGAATCGATCCTCGCCCTGTTAACAGGGAAGAGATACAGGCAAGTTGCAACTATCGAGAGTTTGCGACCTGTCAATACGGGTAAAAGTATTGTGGTTGGCTCACTTACTTTTGGAAAAAGATATCATACCTACTTTCAAGTGGAGTATTGATAAAAGTATTAGAGCTGATGATCTCAAGGTATTCCTTCTCCAGAATCTTTCATCTGATTCGAAGTCAGCAAATACCAGTGCAGGGTAAACTGACAGGGGAAAAAAAGGAACCTCACCAAACATGATGCGGTTTGAAAAGACGGTCATCAGCGCTTTGTGTGTTCACCTTATATTAGCAGTCGGAAAATTAAGCGAAATCGAAGAGCAGTGAAGAAATTATAACATAATTTTATTCTTCTATATCCGCGTAAACTTGATATACATAACAGTATGCGTAACGAAACCTTGTTTCACTAGATAATTGGAGTGAATGATCTTCTAAATGACTGTAGTGGACCTTGCAAGACTTCGCCCAAAGGGAGTGTACCCATTTCATTCGAAGAATTTATATAGTGGTACGAGTCTCACTTCTTTGCACTAAAGAGCGAATGGAATATCTTACTTTGGGTGATGTTTCTGAACATTTTTGGTGGTTATTCAACATGGCTCAATAAAGAGAACGGATGATAGGCGAGCTGACAGTGCCTGCCCAAATAGTTACATGTCTATATCAGAATTATATTTTGTCGTTGTAGTAACTACTACATCTCACAATACAATATTATAACTGTCTCGTGAAGGAAAACAGTGATGAAAAGTAATGTTGATTGAACTGAGTGGAGTACAATGTGGTCTGAAATCACGAAGATAGTGACCACTCTATTACATCCATTTTGAAATTGCAAAATTCAGTTCCTCAAATACAGGATTTTTTAGTAACTATGTACAAATAGTTTATTGATTCAGTACTGAACTTGTCTGTAAAAAGTTGCAAAATTTGTCTTTCATTTCCCCTGATATTATTGGTTTCTTTAAATAATCAAGCATAGTAAAGGTTTCTCATTGGCTTGGAAAAGATGCGATTTTGATTTCAAACTGGATGTCACGGTAATGAATATAAAGAACAAAATACCTCTCAGAGCAGTACACAAATGTGTTGAGGGTGTCATGCAAGAACTTCCTCCTTTCGTAATGAACAATTGTAATGTCATTCGAAGATTTAAAAGGTCTGATAAATAGGGCAGAGTTTGGCGATTATTTGTTTAAGGCCGAAGATTCAATAAATTCATACTTTTGCACTTGAAGAAAATTATTCAGCGGACACAAGAGATTATCTTCTCTTGACGGGCATCAGAAAGTTTGAATGTAAGAGACAATCATAATTTATCGCCCGGGGAACCCGAGTGCATCGGGAAAAAAATCTTACTTGAAACTCATGCAATCGATCGTGACTGTAATAGAAGTTCCCAAATTAATCGATAATTAGAATTTTAGAATTTCAAAGAAACATTAAATAAGGATCGTGGCTGATACAAAGAATGACATGATTTTTGTTGCTCGGCATGCGCAGTGCATTTATGCAGAACTTAAATCTGAAATAATTATTGAAATATTCCTCATGTATATGCCATGTCAATCAACTACAAATAAAGGTACTTAAAACAACACCTCTTTGCGTAGCCGATCGTTCAAAATTTGTAATAATCGCAAATTTGTAATGTGACGCAGCACGCATTGTTCTGTGGCTGAGAGGTAGAGCATCGAGCCCCGAAACCCAGTGGTTTGGGATTCGATTTCTTGTTCAGATTTTTGTTGATTTCTGTTGACAATGTTTTAGACAGACCTCTCTTATGAAAGCCACAATTGAATCTTTCACTCAAGAAATTTTGAATTTTAGCTGAATAGCAGAGTCTACACTATTTTTCTAGCATGGGGAAAGAAACAATTCAACCCGTTCGTTCAAGACCTGCCTGAGAGGTGCCTGGCAAGTTATGTTGAATTTAAGTAAATCGATTGCAAGGTCTGAGTTGTTTTGCAGTCGACATTGGGATGGCAAAGACTACCTCGTTCAGTTTTACACATTTCTTGCCGTCTCATGTGTTGTTCTGTCTGTAACAGCGACTTTGGAAAACCTTGTTATTCTGGTTGCACTTCAAAATATTCAGCATATGTGTGACCATGATTTTCTCCGGTGCACTTCTGGCGAAACTGACCTCCATTGCAGTGGATAGACTCCTCGCCCTGTTATTAGGGATAACATATGGGCAAGTTGTAATTGTCAATAGAACTCGTACGGTCGTCCTTTTTATGTGGATGAAAAGAAATTGTGGTCGGCCTACTTTACCTTTGGAACACGATATCATACCTCCTTTCAAGCAATTGATAACATTAGAGCTGATTATTTCAACGTATTCCTACTCCGGAATATTTCGCACCATTCCACGTCAACAAATAAAGCTGCGGGATGAATTAGAAGGGAAAAGAGCAGGAACCTCGCCAAACATGACGCGATAAAAGAAGACGGTCATCAATGCGTTGTGGGTTCACCTTACATTAGCTGTCTGTTATCTTCCTTTTTCTGGTGTGACAGTTGTAATCCTTATTCAAGGGCTAAACTCGTCTCTCCGTATGTTTAGTTTACCTAAACTTGTCGATGAGTCAAGTTCTCTACTGCTAGAAAATCAAGGAAATTCGAAGAGCAGTGAAGGAATTTTTCTCTTGGTTCTCGACTTAATATGCATTCATATCTGTGTAACGAAAGTAAAAAGTTTAGATAAATCGTGTTTTACTAGATCATTGAAAAGTATTTCAGATCACGTTAGATTTAAGGGCCGAATATTAAAGAAATTCATACTTTAACACTTAAACAAATTATTTTACGACACTAGAACGTTTGAATTAAAGAGACCAATGATAATTTATGTATGAGATCCCAAAATGATCGAACATTATAATTTTATACTAAGCATGACTTGGTTTTTTTTTTCAAGTCGATCGGCAGTGCATTTATACAGTACCTATACACCCCTTATATATGCGACGTCAGTTAACCCTATGTGCATGGTGACTAAAACAAGACCTCTTTGTGTGTGAAGTCTGGAAATTTGAAAAAACAGCCGGGGCCTAAAACTAGTGGCTACCAATCGTTCTAAACCCGTGAAAATCACAATCACTCCTCCAAAATGTATTTCACATTGCACATCATTACGTTGCATTATTTAAGGCCTCTAAGTCAAGGGGCTATGCAATTGTAAAAACTTTAAACCAAAGATTAAGTTCGTTTTGATTATGTTAAAAAAATTTCAGTTATTTGTTATTATAATTTGTGTGTTTGGTCTTAGACTCCCAACTGTTCGACGGTCACCGAAAATACGATGTTTTGCACGTCACAAAAAGTCCAAACACCTTCTCCACTTCAAAAAAATCACGTCTGCAGGCATTTCAAACGCTAGGACAAGAAATGAAGAATTTTTTTAAACGACGAATACCAAATAATTTCACAATAACGCCAATTAGTTTTGGCCTAGAGGGGATAGTTTATCCTCTCTTGCTTTGCCTTGATCGAAATAGCGACGAATTATTAACAAATTTTTTATTTTTTCTGGGCCTCAGTGTGGGAGGAAAAAGGTACATACATATCAGTACGATTTACCC